GTGGGATCCGAACCCTCGACGGGAGCACCGCTGCGCTCCCAAGCGGCGCACTGCAGCAGTGTGCCACCGGGCCGGCCCACAATTTAGTTTTTTTAATGGAAAAAATTAATTGCAGCTAAGATTTTGATTAGGGTTAAAGTTTGTAAAAAAAATGGAACACTTGACAGCTTAAGTCCTAAATTGTACTTAACTAGGAGTGCAGGTCATTAGCAGTAACATTTCATTTTACAAGATGTATAAAATCCTGTTTTAAGGCTGTCTTTAATTGTTGCTCTTCATTTCTCTGCAGGTCTTTTAGATAACCCTGAACTTCGTGTGGTCCTTGTCTTTGGCTATAATTGTTCTAAAGTGGGAGCCAGTAATTATCTGCAGCGAGTAGTCAGCACTTTCAGTGATATGAATATCATCTTGGCTGGAGGCCAGGTGGACAACCTGTCATCACTGTCTTCTGAAAAGTATGTCTGGTGTGCATCTGATTTCTTCTGTGGATGAGGGAAATGGTCTCAGGTTTTTGTTACTTTGGGTTTTTTAAAAACATGTTTAAAGAATTGCTGAGATAACAGTCATTCCATTTTGCAGTAGACAGGTTAAGAAGCTTACTCAACATAATTTTGCTTACATTTGAAGAATTAAATTTATATATATTTAAGAACTTCTTAGTTGGACTTACACTCTCCTTAAAATTTATTTTCAACATTGTTGATCTTTCCTTTGACAGCTGTGGTACTCCGGGTGACATCACTATGTCACTTCCTCTCTAGTTCTGTTTCCTCTTTTAAAGGAAATACATGGTTAATGTGTATCTTTATGACAAAACTCCAAAGCCTCTAATATGCTTTGTAGTTTGGAAATCTAGAAGGGGAATAATATTACCTGTGGCGATTCTCAAATCTTTTTGGTCACAAAACGTTTTTTTCATGGAGCATCTTGCAGGTCTACTAGTATTCCTTGGCACACATTTTATGAAATTCTGTACTAGATTTTTTGAAAGGCTTTTTAGGCTCAAAAATTGTGGATCTTTGATTTGTGTTACTAAGGCATTTGCTTTCAAAGATAAAAATATTTGCTTTTCTGTCTTGGGAGCCATTACCCCCTTTCTATTTTGAATAAATATGTGAAACTTTTTGAGTTTGAGCTAGTCAAGTGGACATAAATATCATTTATTTATATTGAAACATGATTGATTGTACATACTTGTGGGGTACAGCATTTGATATCAATATCTGTGTGCAATGTGTCATGCTCAAATCAGGACAATTATATTCACAATTATATAATGTAACCATTTTTTGTGGTCCTTTACCAATTTCTCGCTAACTCCATCTCCCCCTCTCTCTTTCCCACTGCTGGTGGCCTCAGTTCCATTCTCTCCTCTTGAAAGTCCAATGAATTATAGTGATTATTGTACCTTTCTTTCTTTTTTATTTTTTAGCTCCTACTTATGAGTACAGCATTTCTTCTGTCTGTGCCTGGCTTATTTCACTTAACATAATCTTCTCTAAGTTCATCCATGCATTTATTTTCAAAAGCAGGAAAACGAGACCCCATCCTACCCCCAATGCTTATAAATACTAGTATTTGTTTCTCACTATACTTGTGTTTAATATTTGGATCCTAGAGTTAGGCTATTAGAGATCAGTATCTGTGGAATAATGTAAATCATCCCTGTTATAGTCTCTCTCCTGGATGGATCAGAGAAAGCAAACAGCTAAGTTGAGGTCCCTGGACAGCCAGTGACAAAGAAGGAAAGGCAAGTGCACTGAATTCTGGGCAGTAGGATATCAAATACTGGATTTCGTGCCTACATACACCGAATTCTTGGTGGCTCTCTAAGGTTATTTCCCCTCTTACCATGGTGATCTAAAATACAGTTTACCTTTGAAATGCAAATATCTCACTTAGAACATTTAAGGTACTTGCTCATTAGTGTGGCTATTTCTGTATAACCTACTTTTTATACCTGATATAGGAACTCTAGCCCCCAAAATCATTATACCTTACATGACATGTTAATTTTAATGTGGTCTTCATACCGTGTTAGTGGGTAAGGGAAGCCATTGAGTAAATCAGTGCACCATTTCAGTGGTGTCCAGATAAGCCAAACTACTCCCCCTCCCAAAAAAAGATAGGTAGATAATTCTCTGATGCAAGACATTGACAAACATGTATTACAATTATATACCAAAGAGGAAATATAAAGGTAAAAGAGGAGCAGAGAACTTCAGAAGATGGATTCTGCCCCTCATAAACTGGTTTTGCCACTAGCTGCCTGATCATCTTAGTCACTTAACCATTTTGAGTCTTAGTTTCTCATTAACACAGAGAATCTTGTTTATTTTATAGATTCAGATGTTGATAAACATGATAGAAATGTAAGGTACTTTCTTGTTTCTTCCCTAGTGGGTGTTAGTGGGTGTTCATCATATTATGCTTTTTATAACTTTTATCAACATTATATTTTCTTTTGTAAGGGTAAAAAACATACCAGGCAAATACAAACAAAAAGAAAACATGACTTTTTACCATCAAATTTTGACAAATTCTAGGCTCAAAGCAATAAAAAAGATTTTTAAAAAAAAAGTAATCATATTTCTTTATGGACCAAACAATATAAAGCTAAAACTTGTAGAGTTAATAGGTTTTTAAAATGATTCTTCGTGAGTGTGTTTTTACTATACCTCTTTCAGCATTTAGTAGCTGAAGTTGGGGAGGAAATATACCAATGATGTAAATAATATAATATCAAAAAGCTTCATTTGGGCCAACCCTGTGGCTCACTCGGGAGAGTGTGGCGCTGGGAGTGCCGAGGCCGCGGGTTCGGATTCTATATAGGGATGGCCGGTGCGCTCACTGGCTGAGCGCGATGCGGGCGACACCAAGCCAAGGGTTACAATCCCCTTACCAGTCCCCCCCACCCCCAAAAAAGCTTCATTTAATAGATACCTTTGTGTATGCATAAAATTATAAGGTTTCTTTTATGGAAGTCAGAAAGGTAAGAATACTCTGTACCTTCTAATAACCAAGGATGGGTTTCAGAAATCTTTGTGGATATGCATTGCCCCTTTGTATGTATGACTGGAAAAAAAAAAAAGAAAAAGAAAAAAATAGTGGCTTACTTCTCTTGATTGATTCTTTTTTTTTTTTTTTTTTTTTTTTCTTTTTTTTTTTTTTTTT